TCGATCGAGGTCGACCGAGGCCAAAAAGGGAACACACATCACGAGACACGATACACACGGCATATAAGAGGAACGACTCCCATAGTGGAGGAACCATGCGCGGATTTTGAATTGGAACAGATAAGATGAATATCTTAACAAGATTTTAGTATACAAAAAATTTATTATAACTGACGAATATTTTAAAATACTTTTTAAATAATTTTACATTGACATAATGGCATGCAATGCAACAGATTAGTGTAAATGGAGCACCCGATGATGGCACTATGGTGCCGAAACATGTTGTGAAGTGACAGGTAAAAGTGGATGCACTGCAAGACGGACACTGTATATGTATCATGGATGAAAATCAGTGCAACAGGACGCTAAAATACAACATTATGAATAGTAGTCTCTTACTCTGGTTTTTAATTGATCGATGTCTCTCACCTGCGTCTTATAAACAACGTCTTTGACATATCCCCAGAGGAAAAAGTCCAGTGGGGTTGTCAGGTGATCTTGGGAGACAAGAAATTGGTCCACCTCGTCCAATCCATCTTCCTGTAAAATGTTTGTCCGAAGCATCACAAACTATGGTGCTCCAATGAGGTGGCGCACCGTCTTGTTGGAAAATGATTTCGGGTTGAAGTGCTTCAATTTGCGGTAATACAAAATTCTGCAACATGTCTAGGTAAACAACTGATGTCACTGTCTTTTCTGTGAAAAAGAAAGGCGCAATGACTCGACCATGCATAAGAGCACACCACACATTCACTTTTTGGGAGTCTCTTGCCATTTCATGGTATTCGTGAGGGTTCTCTGATCCCCAGATGCGTACATTATGGTGATTGACTGTTCCAGAAATGTGGAAGCAAGCTTCATCAGAGAACAGTATGGTTGTAAGAAATCTTTCATCATCCTCTGTTGTTCATAACATATCTGTTGCAAAATCTGTTTTCTTAGGCTTATCATGTGGTTCAGTAGCCTGCACAAGTTGCATCTTATAAGCATACAGCCGTAATTTGTTCTGTAGAACCTTGTGTACTGTTGAAACTGGCATATTCAATTCTCTTGCCGCTGTTCTCAAAGATTTCCTGGGACTGCGTGCAAATGCTTCTCGGACACACTGAAGATCATCATTGCTTCTGCTGGGATGTCCGGAACTCTTCTTACTGAGGACACTTCCTGTTTCTAAAAATTTATATATATATATGTATATGCAGGTTTCAAAATTTTTTACTCAGACCTAATTTAGGGGTAATGAAATGAAATTCCCAGGCCAATGGGAATGCTAGGTAGGAAAATGGCCCTTCTCAGGGGAATACTGTTATTTTATCACAGGAGGGAAATGTAATTGTCTTGTGACAAGAAACAATATTGTTTCACAGAAAGGGCCATTTTCCTACCTAGCATTGATTCCCTTGGGCCTGGACTGGCCTGCATTCCCTAACACCTTCCCTACAGCCAGCCTCTACAAACGCAATTGATTCCCCACTGTACACACTTCAACCCTATAGATGGAGGCAGTATAGTGTTCTGAAACATCAGTATCTGCCTATGTGACTATTCAGTGTCACAGCCCACTATACCAGAGTCTGAACAATCAGGAATGGGTCAACAAGTGGACGAACACCCTAAGAGCCAGACAATGACAAATAGTATCAACAGACTGTAAAGGATTCTGATCATTGTGTATAATACTCAGAACTACTGGGTTTTTGGACTTTGTCCATTGTCCAGTATTCTAGAAACTAGAAAACAGATGTTTTGGAAACTGGATCTGTTTCTATCCTCAGGTAAGGTAGAGGGGTGTGTCCAGTGATTGAGGTTAGATCTTTCTAAGGGACCCAACAGAGCTGGAGTTTTCCCACCCCCTCACCTCAGGACGCATACAAGTCTAGTCCAAAACCCCAGTAATTCCAAAATAGTATTGATGTGTAGATTTTCAATAAAATNATAAAATATATTCTCTTTCCAAAAAAAAAAAAAGGTTCCATGTTTAGATTTTATTTAAATAAAAGACTCAGCTGAACATAATTAAAAATAGATTATACAACTCTGTTAAAAAAACATTCATACAGTAGCTACAATGCATAACATTAAGAAATTAACATGTCAAACAAATTTCAAGCACACTCTACCATCACAGCTCCTAAGGGTGTTTAGCTACCCTTCAGCTGCATCACAACATACCAGTGAATGTCTTCAGATTTAAAATACATTCTTGCATACAATACAGTTTTACAGTGCAGCAAGAAAGAAATATTACCATAAGAAGCTTGGTGAATGTTGATTTAACTAAAATTGTTATGCAAATGTTACAAAGCCTGAATTATCTGCATGGAATTTATGTATATATACAAATATAATAGGTACCTGAATAGACTATAATTCTGCATATACCAATTATGCAGCTCAATAAACGATCTTGTGAACTGTGGTCTATCGTCACATACAATAAACGTTACACTTTATCACTTTCAAGATCAAAACGTGAAGGCAAGCTTGTTTCGCTCATTAAAACGGTCTCTTGTACTAGACGAAGATCTGATCCATATTCAACCCAGCAGTTCAAATCCTTCATCTGAATCATCAAATTGTCGTTCAAAATCTTCAAATGCTGTAAACAGGTAACAATGTCATTACAATTTCCATCTAAACCTATAAAATACAGAATCTGACATCCACACTTTGACTTAACCCTTCATGGCGGTACTTCTCAAGAAGTCAGATGTGCTCCAAAGATGGGACAAGAAGTCTCAAAATTAAGACCTTCCCTTTATTAGTCAGTATAATACTAAAATGCATATAACTGTAAAAACACTCCTTGGAAACAGAGAAGCTCTGTTTTTACTATGATGGGACTAGGATCTGTGGGATCCTGGGAATCAGTGCTTCAATACAAGGTGTACCATACACACCACAAGCAAGCTGCTTCTTGCTTACTTGGCTTACTATTTTACTCTGAAGATGGAAGCAATATGTTCCTCTGAAGCATCGGTGAACATCTATGTGACTACAGGGCGTCATATTCCAAAACACATCACTCCCCATAGTCACCACCATCAGAACTTTAAGTCAAACTCATAGTATCCTGATTTCATCGAATTATTTGTGACCAATTTAATGATTCTGTCAGCTAACTCAGGCTACACAACATAGAATGGCTGGAGAGTAGCGAACAATGAATTTCAAAGCACGTGGAAGAATGCAGCCATTGCCTAATCTGAGAAACTGAGGAAAATCATGAAAAACCTGTCAGGATAGAAAACCAAAGCATTACTGCTTGAGCCAACACATTCAACAAATACTTAACTTCTAATGTTCTGAATACCAATGTTAATGGCAATTTTCGATGTGTGCTGTGGCATCTGTCCAACCAGCTACACAAATTCACTCCATTGCACAATGTGACAATTCTCTACTGACATGGTAATGTGTACAATTAGAATTGAAGCACACACAACTCCTCCTTGCATGGCTACAAACAAAATACTTACTCAACAGAACTATTGTCTGAGATGTGACATATAGTTTATTGCTTACATACTTGCCTTATTCTTCACCAGTGACAATAGAGGCAGTGCATGCCTCTAAAATATCAATAAACTTCTACCAGACTGCACTGCAACCCATCCCAGAAGACAATATGCTTAAGGCTTTAAATGCTGAATTCCTTCTAATTATAATATAAAACTTCAAGCTGTACCTCACAGGAAACACATTACGTCTCCGCTACAAAGCCCAACCGGTTAATGCTGTTTGGGGAAACAGTCGCTGTTTATTGTGAGAATCATATGGAACACACAGATACACTTCCAAATAATATATGTGAATTCAGCCCGTACCTTATAGGAAGCACATTATGACTCTGCTACAAAGTTCAACTGCTTAATGCTCTTTGGGGAAACAGTTGCAGTTTATTGTCAGAATGATATGGAACACAAAAATACACTTCCAAATAATATATAAGAATTCAGTCCATACCTCATAAGAAGCACATTATGTAGCCGCCATAAAGAACAATCGGTTAATGCTTTTTGTGAATACAGTTACTTTTTTATTGTGAGAACATTGAGAAAAAAACAAACTCTGTGGGCAGAATTCAGAGTTTTAGTATTATAATGTGGATGGCCAGAGCATTGCTGGGTAACAGACCAGTAAACATACGGGAGTATTTGAGAGTGTTTAAGTGACAGCCACAGGAAGTTCATCATGTTAAGACTTGGCGTTTGACTGGAAGACTTGGAGTGATCTGAACCGCTAGTTCCTGTAATTTGAAGTGACAGTTTCTGTGTAGAGATCAGTTGCTAGGAGACAACTACTGGAAGACAGAGATCCTAGTGCGTGTGCAACAGTGAACTGGAAAGTGTGTAATTCAGTGATGGCGCTGTAATTTAAATGTGATTAAAAGAGAGAGTGTGTAACCAAGCTGTTAATAAATCCAATCATCCGATCTAGAGCCCATCATTTGGTCATGCGTACCCCCCTACACGTGACAGTATGTTAAAGTAGGGGGTAAATATAGTAACCAGTGGGCTTTAAAGAGTACACCCGTCCCCACACGCTTCACTTCACGCGGTGTATGCCTTGACTAAATTCAGCGGAATGAGTCTTACATCCCAGGGGTACACAGGTGTTGGCTCGCTTACGTCGTTTTTTGGATGCGGGCTCGATCGGTTAACCCCCTAGCACAGGTTCCACATGAACACCCTCACTCCCTGGCCTCTACCCACTAACTGACCCCTTACCCCCGCTGCTGCTTCCAGAAACCACATTCTTAGCCATCTCGAACTTTCCACTGGGAGGTTTTCATGACCAAATACACGGACCCCTTCCGGTCTGCACACCTTCTAGAAGTTTCTCGAAGCTTCGATCCACAGGTCCTCCACCCCCACAGGCACGGACGAAAGAAAGTATACCTACTCCCCCTTGAATGCAATGGACTCACCAACCTCCCTTCTGTCCCTCGCAACAAAAGACCAATTCAGAGGACCATGATCCCTCCGGGGCATCTCATTTCTACAGCTAAACTTAACCGTTACTTACAAACAAATAAGACTTTCCGTGAAGGATGCGTACGGTTACAAGAGTTAACATGTAGTGTGATGATAGTAAAAATGTGTTGTGTGGTCAGTAAAATTGACTCTAATATTGAGTTAATACTATACTGCATGGACAAATCTTTCTCTGTATTAACTTACCCATGCAAGCAGTTGCACCAAGTGCTTCTTCTGCCCCATCTTCTAGAGGTGACCAATGTCTAGGCCTCTCCTTACAGAGCTCAAACAAGGGCTGCCTCTCAGGATGCACCAATCGTTCTTCAATGAGCTTGCACAGCAGATTAAATTCATCTTCAGTACTGCAAAAGAAACACTGCAAAAACAAACAAAGAATGTTTATAGAGTTCATGAAACTGAGAAGAAAACCACACCTGTTCCTCACTCTGTAACCAGTTAAGTGTGAGGCCTGAGGCAAAGCCCCCGACTTAAAGAACAAATATGTGATAATACACATATGGTCGAGGATTTCAGGAGGTGGTGATATGGAGCAATGGTGGAATGATGATTAGTAAGGGAACATGGACCAAAACCCAACCAGTGCCAGTCTTCTATCATACATCTCACATGAAGTCACCCAGGACTGCACCTGAGGCTTTGCAGAGAGAAGCCTGCACAATAACATGCTGCAGTCTGTTGAGGATCACCTGCCCTCAGCTGTCACCTACCTCTTATTCACTTCTTCACTTTCAATGAGGTCTGAGCAGAATTTGTATAACAAGTAAATCTCAATGCACAGGGATATGACTGCAATAACAAAAATGCCTGACATCACATATCAACACGTACTTGCAGCTCCTTCCACTGCTTCAATCATTCACAGCCAGGGTTAGAATCATGGGAAAAGTTATGGACATCCAAGAGTACTGAACAATATGTGTGTGGATTACATTTAATTTTAATAATTTTGCTGCATTGCGCTGCACTCGGCTGTTTTCTCTGGTCATACATGTTGACTGTTATATTACCAGTATGACTGGCTTTTTGGGCATGCAGAAGCATGTTGGGTAAAACTTGGGGACTGCAGCCGCACATTGTGCATTTGATATACACTGTGGTTGTAAGACCCATAATTACACAGAACGCCACAGTATGGTGGCCCAGAGTTAAACTCATGACAAGCAAGGCAGAACTTAGCAAATTGCAAAGGTTGGCTTGCTTAGGTATCACAGGAGCAATTCGAACATATCCAACAGCTGCACTGGAGACACTCCTTGGACTCCCCCCACTGCAGCTACAGTTGGAGGCAGAGGCCAGGGCAGGAATCTACTGCCTCCAGTGCAGTGATTTTTTTCAATAATTTTGGAAAATGTAGGGAGAAGCGAAATAGGCCTGTAGTTATGAAGTTCATCTCTATTTCCTTTCTTATATAAAGGGTTGACTTCTGAATATTTTAATCTATCAGGAAATATACCTATTTGTAGGATTTTGTTAGTAGACTGCGATAGACTTCAGTTTTCATAGCAGACGAAAATGTTTTGATCAGCTGAGAAGCTCCAGCCACGTCCCACAGAGTTAGGTAATTAGGGGAAATATACATGATATTCTGATTTAAATTAAATAGCTATCATTTCATGTAAAGTTTTCTTACAGCAGCCACAGAAGGGTCCATATGCAATATATGCATCCTGCTGGCATACTGGCAGTGGTAGGATCCATCAAAGGCTTTCTCATGTTCCTGTTCTTTCTCTTCCACAAAACCTGCAGGCTGTGTTGTATGAGGGTCCAAATATATCACTTCATCTCCTGCACAAGACATCAATAAATATATTACATTCTGAAATATACAAGAAATCAAATTATGTACAGTCAGAGCTTAATATTCAATCTGTGTATACAATGCCAGATAGATTTTTTCTGAATTGTAAGCAAGCATAAGCAACTGTTCTTCGCTCAGGGTACAGTTTCCTTCCTTGTAATGTCACACTTTATGGCAGCTAAAATTTTGGAGGAACATTCAAATTAAGAAATTTAAATTTAAAAATGGGAATGAGAGTTCAGATATCACACAAACACTCTAATGCCATACTTGCCATGGCTACCATATGTACTGATGAGAATAAGGGGTGGTCCCTATTAGGTCTGTGGTAGGAAACAGCAAGCAGAAGAAATAAAACATGGGTGAAGTCAGCAAACATCCACAAAATGTGTCACACCTTTCCTTTCTACAATTGGTGCCACTGCTTCATTCACATCATACTGTAAGCTCAGAACCTCCATTTTTATTGCAGTGACTTATTTGACCTTCACCATTCACTTGTCTTTATGGCAGTTCTGCTTAGCATGTGCACCAAACAAGAGCAGCATGGAGTGACTCATTTCTCTGTGCTGAATGTTTAAGAGGTGCAAAAACTCACTGATGACTATCAGCGAAGTACAGTGACAGCCTTTTCCCATTGACGTAGATGGGTGCCCTGTTTACTGTCTGTGGTACTTGTTCAGCCTTTTTTAATATATCACTACATTCATACACACTTTGATGCAGCGAAACACTGTCGCTGTATGGTGCTGACAATCTCTGATGGATCTAGAGACTTCTTACATATTCAGGCCACAAAAAATCGAATCAAATCATGTTAATGTCATTAGTTGTGAAAGGGGAGGTTCCATTCTTACAGTTGCATGCCCATTCAGCAATGAGGCCAAACACAAAAGAAAAAGGTATGAATGTTCTGCAAACACTTTCTGACTTACCCTCTCTGATCTTTCTTCGGTACTTTATCAATAAATGCTGTGACAGTCTATTCACAGACCAAAGAATTCAGGTAACCAAACAGCAGCTGCTGAGAGCATCTGCTTTCTGTACTGCAGGCCACAATATTTGAGAGCTGGAGTACATGGTCACATCTACCATCCGCCCAACAACACTCTATAAACACTGGACTGCTGCATTAGGAATAAGGCAACCAGAACTCTTCAGGTAAACTTTCTAGGGACCTACAGGCCTTGGACAGGAAGAAGTGCTGGCTTGCAGGAGGATTACCAGCTGGCCACTGGCCGCTGGCCACTGTCCGCTGGCCACTGGCCACTGTCCACTGAAGCACTATCTGCATACAAAGGGCATGTCTGAAAGTGTCACATGCAGGAAATGTAGGCAGAAACAGGAATCCTAACTGGGTGAAAGGTTTTCTTCTGCTACAGTGAAATTTTCACTACATTGGGGTCATGCAAAATTACATCAACAAACTGTTCACCTTCCTATAAGACTTACTGCACATAACTGCATCAAAGTAACTCCATTACATAATTGTTTCTACACAAATATAATTACATAATCAACAGTAAAAAGATGTTACCCAAATTAATTAATGACATGAAATAAACATAATGGTTGAGTGTGAACAATTTCAAGCAGAAATAAAAGGTAAATATTGACTGCTGTTTCAACACAATCACATTAAACTAAGGTACAAGTTCTAGAAGGAGCACACAGTAGTGTGGCAGGCTGAGACATTATGCTACAAGGTGGAAGGTCATGGGTTCTACACCTGATGAGGTGCGTTTTTTCAATTTACCTAGTTCTTCCAGCTGCACTATGGCCCTGAGGTAAGCCTCTAACAGAAATGAGTACCAGGAATCTTCCTGGGAGTAAAGGGCAGCTGGCATGTAAGGCTGACAATCTTACTGCCATCTATGAGCCATCTAGAGAAAATGTGGCAGCCTCAATGTCTCACAACCCTATGGGCCTTCATGGCCTGTTACAGGGATAGCTCTTTCTTTTTTTTAGTTTTTACAAGTCCTTGAGCATCCAAAATTTCCCACATTAAATGCAGGTTATTTACTAAATTGAAATTCAGCAAGTGAAAAAAAAGAGTATAGATATTTCATAACCAAGTGGTCACGAAAGACATCTTTCAACACTTTCTTCTCCTTACCAGGTGGTCATTACAAACATTTCCATTATCTTTTGTCCTAAGCATGGAATTTGAAAAACATTTTTCACAACATCGTTCATGACCACCTTGCTTCCAAAAATATTTCAATCACTTTTTTCTAGAGCACATGGTCTCCCCTACTGGATAGTACCATGTTCCTTTGGTTCATCCAATCGCAGCTTCAGGTCCCAATCACTGCCCACTGTCAGATCTATACAAAGGCTGATGAAATCTCTCAAAGATACTGAGAGGAAAACATGCTCATGGGTTCTGTGGAGCCCACAGCCAAGAATGACTGAGCTGGTGAAAGCCAGCAACAATTTAGCCCAAACCAAACACATTAACTATGAAGATGGCCACTGCAATGTTTGCCAAAATGTTGGAAAGCCTTTGATATTCTCTTCAGCTTACTCCTAAATGCCAGTTACATTAAACTCCAGCCACAAACACCCAAGAATATGCATACGCTCCTTCTGACACACCATCCCTCAAACATCATGGCATGCAGTACAAAAGATACTCTACCTATGAATCCCAATGTGGTGCATAATTCATCTGATAATACAGCCACTGGTAATTAAGCAGGGTATCAGTGAGTGTACACAAAGGGACGGAATTAGAAATGAAATTTTCGGAGAGAAATTCGGAACTAAAAATTTGTTAAAAAAGTCACACAAAAAATATTACAATCATTTGGCCATATGAAAGGAGTTGCTCAAACAAGAACACTGCAAAGGGCATTAGAATTCAAATTTATAAGAAAGAGATCTATGGATGATCCAGAATAAGATGATCCAGGCAGATGTTGGAAGATATCAAGAGGAAAGAGCTGGCAATAAACTGAAAACAAAAAATTGTGGGAAGAAAAAAAGATTGGAGAAATTTCATCCATCTACCATTACAAAAAGAAATGTGGAGGGGAGGAAGGGAAATAGGAGGAGGAGGCAGAGGCAGAGGTGGAGGAGTAGGGAAGACGAAGTATTCTACTCTGGAATGTCAAAATTTTTTATTTACTATCCACATAAAATCCTGTTACAGCTATATAACACTTGGTATATTCACTCTGTCTGCACTTACCGACACAACCTATGAAGTACAAAGCATGGTTTGGTTTCCCACCTATCACTCCCAGCGACTGCCTGAATGTGAAACAAGTCTGCAAATTAAGAAAACTTAACGTCAATTTCAAATAAGAGATTTGAAGTTTTGACAGCAGTGAAGACTCACAGTGTCTTCTCTCCTGGACTATGACACAGTGTAATTTGGTAGATGGGGACCAACATCTGAAGAGAACACTCTGGTTCTATGTTCAGGCTTCCAGCATGAAGACCAAGGCACTGTGTTCCTCTGACACACTGGTGCCCACATGACAGACTACTAGAACTTAGTGCACTGGCATATCAGTAACACTCTAGACTCATATTTGGGAGGTACTTGGTTTGAATCTTAGCCAGAACATCAGCTATCCTGAGATTTTTCATATTTTCCTAAGTCCCTCAAAGCATGAAATAGTATTTCAATCAGGCCACAGCTGTAAAACAGATGACCCAACACTTATATTTTTTTCTGTCTTATTAAAACTTTAAAAGGTCAATGAATAATGTCTAAAAATGTATCCATGTATGTTATAATATCTATAGGTGCTCCTTTTGTGTGCACTAGGTTCACTGGATTCAGCATCAACCTGAAGGTGGGCTCGGGTTTCACGGACTCTGACCAGAATATTATGCATGGCCATAAGTGCAAAGTCTCATTTCAAATGGCTGAATATGTCATTTCATCTTAACACCCAAGGGCAGTTTCTGTCTTGCTTGGTTTACATTCGGAGATAGGGACAACTGAGGTTGATAGGTTTCTGTACCTGAGAATGGAGACAGAGAGCAATCCCCAAAACACTGTCTCAAATAAAATTAGGATGAAGGATAACATCCAGGACATATCTCTCCCTCTGTCTCAGCTTTTAGTGGTAAAGTGAGAATTGCTCTTACCTTCAGACCCTGGACATAAACTGGGTTAATTTCACTAAGTCCTAGTCTGAGGGGTACAACAAGAACAAGTGGTTTCCAGCTCCTGTCCACTGGGTGATTAGAGCTCTCCTTGCCACTGGGCACCAAGCTGGGTTCATGGTGTGCACTTGCAGACTTGCAAAGTTGCTCTACAAATAAAAGAAAGTTCACAAAAACATCTGCACCATTTTGTGTCTTGTATAATTTTCTTTTACCTCTTCCACCTCCTTAGCTTTGGAGCGTTACAAAGTACTGAGTGTGTAAATGCTTCGGCATAAATAATAACCAAATCTGATAACACATGAACCAGTTGGCTGGCAAGTCCCATCACAGAACCACATACTGAAAAATGCCATACCTGACAGTGGTAGGTGCAACTGTGCATAATAATCCACTATATCTCTGAGTTATGACACCCTGAAGATGGAGACATCAGTAACCACCCATCAGACTACACAATGTCTTAACCCTTTGGCGCAGTCATTTAAATTCCGCGGCCGCGTCTCCGGCGGTAATATATTCAGCCGGCCATTTAAATTTTGCTCGAAAATGATTTATTCATCTTTGTTCTTAAATTCTATGAGATAGGAACATGAAACTTTCACTAAAATGATCTTAAAAGGTGGTTTTATAACCTTACCTTATAATATGGGCGCCCTGTATCTCGGCAATGGAAGCAGCTTGTTTAGTATTTGAGCAGTGAATGGTACGCCTTGAAGGATGAAACTTTCACTAAAATGATCTTAAAAGATGGTTTTTATAACCTTACCTTATAATATGAACGCCCTGTATCTCGGCAATACAAGCAGTTGGTTTAGTAGAATCTGAGCAGTGTAAGGAAGGCCTTGAAGAATTCGTATAACCCAACGGTGCCCCACATTCACCGCTCCAATATTGTCTTTTCTTTTGCCCTTTTTTTTAACCACACATCTGTGCGGCCTTCTTCTTCCCCGTGAGGGGTATAGTTCAAGGAAATGTCTTTCCGTGACCCGTTTAGTTGCCAGGTCAGCTGTAGTAAATTCAACGTTACGAGTTATCATAACAAGGGGTTGGGGCTTCTGCGTTTCAGATTCCAACCATTTTGGCTGCCCCAGATGTCGTAGGGGTGACCACAGAATTCATGAAGTTATTCTAAGAACTGGCTGGTATATAGTGAACGAAAGCAGAGCTTAGCTGGCTCAAAAAAAATATTTATGGTCATCCCTCGAAACGACCACCAAGGTCAGTACGATAAAATGGCGTCAACTGGAGCGATAATACATGAAGGAATGAGTTCTTTTCCCTCCCCCACACACATCCGTATCGTCTCAGGGGGTGACCACAGTGTTCTGCCTTAATTCGTGACGTTTTTCTAAGAACTGGGTGCTATATACTGTGCGAAATCAATCGATCATGCAAGAATAAATTTTTGGACATCCCTGTTCTAAGAATTCCAATTGAGTGTGTTAGTGTGGCCAGCTCAGGGCAATATGATATTATAAACACACGTCTCTGCTGTTTATAAGTTCATAGGAAACAAAACAGGCCTTTCAGAACAGTAGAACGGAGGAACCTCTCCCAAGAGCAACAGGAACTTTGCTGCAAGACAGGCATATGTAACGATGATTTAGCGCAGCTAAACTCGTGGATTATTATACTCTGAACCACTGACAACAGGCCAGCGAAAAATCTAACAATCTACGGCAAAACCATCAATTATTATGGGCGTTATAACATAGGTGTGCAGCTGGACGAAACCACGCCAACGGGTTAACCCAGAAAGCAAAAACCTAAACTTTTTTGGCCATTAAAATCTAAATTCATACAAACCTTAACCAATTCTTGACCAACATCATCTCCGAGATGAGGCTGTGCACTATCCAAATAGTCATACTGCATCTCCAAGACAGTTTAAGTTCATTTCACTTTGTAATTCTTATAATTCTATGTAAATTATATATATTAAGAAAACCACCTTTTATAAAATCTACAAGAGGTATAATATTGTGATGTGTTGCGCTATGGTGACGTAACACTTTCGGAACATTGCCGTTGCTATGGTAATAGGCAAGTCATCACCCCGCCCCTTTCCCCGCAGTGACATAACATGGGACGCCGCAGTTGCTACGTAGCCGTAAACAACTTCCAACAGCGTTGCTAGGCTATCGGCAAACAGGCAACCAGGCAACAAGGAAGTAAGGAATTTTCCTGTTGCCCAGCTGAGGTTTTATAAGAGAACTACACTGCCTACGAAGACAGTTGTTGTTGTCAGTTAAAGTGTAGCAGCCGCCAAAGGCAGTTGGAATCTAGCAGTTGTAGCGGAAAGAAGAACCGGACGCGTGTGTGATAATCAATGATAGTTTGTGATAACTGAGAGGGTATTGGGAGTGAGTAATTAATCTTTAAGTGACGGCCCTTTAAATTCCGGTAATGGCAGCGGGACGGATTTGATTTAAATACCCGCAATTTTAAAGCAATAAAAACTGTAATCATTTCCTAAAATTGCTGTGATTTCTACAATTTTTGTGATAAACGAACCAAATAAACGCTGTTTTTTTCTAGAAAGAATGTAGAATCAGATATTGTAATTTACAGACTTTATAAAATGTGTAAAAATTTTTAGACTGATTCCAAGTAAAAAATTCCCAAATTTATCGTCTCTCTACAAGAATTCAGAGTTCTTGGAACGAAGAATGCTGTATGTAGAAGTTGTAACACAGCAGCGGATGGTTTATGTAGCCATGTTTAGTCTTGCATGTCTCGAAAGATTATACACGTACGTCATTTCGGTATGCAGAGATGTGGGGTGAGTATCTATTCGTATACAAGAACCCTGATTGTTTATTATCGCTTGTTGCAAAACAACAAGCTCTCTCTTCTCACTCTGCTGGAAGTAGATTATAAGTACTTTCATGGTTAGCATCGTAATACTGCCAAGCAGTATCAAAAGCGTGAACCAACCATTGCGCTGTCTCGTTAGGAAGACGCTGACATATTTCAACTCATAAACGACTCCGAATCAGATTGTTGTACATTCAGTTCTGAGAGTGGCGTTGAGGAAAGTGAATCAGAAATTGATTTCGACGAAGACCCATCATCTTGGTCGGCAACCTGGGGACCACCACACCAGCATGGCAAGAGGAGTGTGAATAATTATTCAGGTGGAGCTGTGGGCAAACTGTGGCAAACAGTTATAGCATCTGTCGTCGAACCTGGAAATGGACAAATAAACTATTTTTCCATCTCCTGGATCTGAACAGTTACATCCTGTTGTCACACAGAGAATTTCGTCTCGCTCTTGTGCGGAACATGCTGGAAGGGGTCCACCTCGCCATCAACGGCCCAGGGGTCGAACCCCTGCCGTTTTATTGGAGATATCTCGATTATAGGAGGCCAAACCACATCACTGGCCGACTTCCTCTACTTCGCAATTGAGGTGTCGTGTGTGCTTTTCGCGTGGGAAACGAATAACCGTCTAGACAAAGTGTGTGAAGTGCGACGTCGGACTCTGGATTTCTGGATGTTTCCAAGATTTCCACACGAAGCCAACTTCCGTCAGATGACGCAGGTGGGAAGACAGACAACTTATAAAGCTGGTGACCAAAAATCATGTAAGTAGAAAAAGAATTTATAACTTAAAATTAGATTTTAAAAAGCCGGCCGCACACGTGGACTGCGTGACGACATATGGCGTCATTCATCCCCTTGACTTTATTTTCATGACGCCATATGGTGTCGCTCAGCTCTTAAAGGTTAAGTTGCACTTGTTTAGCTCTCGTACTGTGAATACATGTAGGCTACTGAAGATAGAGTGAATAGATTATTGTGCAGGGTTTTTAAAGTGTGTAAAGCCGCAACTGTGTTATCAGTAATTGTAGCCGAGACTTGTAGGTTGTTAAATAAACCAATTAACAATCTGATGGCATCTTCAGTGGCAAAAACACGTTACAATATGTAAGTCCTGTGCACCTCACTGGCTTATAAGCTGTAACAAACCACGATGATCAGTCCTGGCGTTCAAAACATGTTAGGTTCTTTGCAATGATGTGGTTCTTAATGCTTGGTGAATTAGAGATTATAATCTGCTTTAAACTTACACCACACAAAGACCTCAAGCTTATTCTGAACTTGTTCCATATCTCACAAACCACACAATCCCCTTGAGCTAGTTCTGAACTTGCTGTACAATATTGCATGAACCACACAATCCCCTTAAGCTGGTTCTGAACTTGCTTTACAATGAGCATGAACCACACAAACCTCTTGAGCTGGTTCTGAGCTTGCTTTATAAACTGCATGAACCACACAAAACCCTTGAGCTAGTTCAGAACTTGCTTTGTAATGTGCATGAACCACACAAACCCCTTGAGCTAGTTCTGAACTATCTTTTTAAACTTATAGTCCATAAAATGTTTCATCTATAATGCAACAATCGATAACACTGCTTCATACTGTGACATGTTGCGCAACAGAGAACCCCCCCCCAACAGCAGTGATGCGGTGGGTGAGTCAGCGCTCCGTCATCCCCCCTCCGCACGGTATCGTAACCCGCAACTCGCAGTGACGTAAGACGGCATGAGGTAACAGCATTGCTATGTAACAGGCCCACACAGCCCCTATATAAGAGAGCTGTGCTGCCTGCGAAGTTAGTTGTAATGTGGCCATCGCCGAGTTCAGTTCCGAGTTAGTTCCGAGCAAGCCTACGAGTGAGTGTGTTATCAACAGTTCTCCAGTCAGCCGACTACAGTTGGAGTATAGCAGCCGTCGCAGAAAGAAGACCTGGACGTGTGTGTAATTGTGTAATTGGGAGTGTGTGATACAGTGATACATAGCTCCCGTACTGTAAACGTGTAGACTACTGAAGACAGAGTGAACTGATTTGCGAATAGGGTTATAAATTGTGAAACCCCGCAACAGTGTTAACAGATTATTGTGGTTAGGGTTATAAAGTGTGAAACCCCGCAACTGTGTGATAATTAATTGTAGACGTTACTTGTAGGTTGTTGAATAAATCAATTAACGATCCGAACGGCGTCTTCAGTAACCCAATACGCTACAATACTTTAATCCACACAGTGGTTTTTATGTGCGTAAAATTTTATTAAAACTATTAAAATATATATGCATTATTATAATGCTACATGTTTCAGCCATATAAGGCCATCATCAGGCAACACTTATATGAGGAATCCTAATGCACTGCAAGCTAATCAATTATCATCCCTTTTATTACTTTCCTTTCATTTTTGATGTTTTCTTCTTCATATTGTCATGTGCAGGGAGTATGCACGATGAAATGACGGGTTTTAGTTTGGATGATTGGATTTATTAACAGCTTGGTTACATACTCGCTCTTAATCACACTTAAATGCATGCAATACAGCGCTATCGCTGATTTACACAATTTCCAGTTCACCATTGCACACACACTAGGATTCTGTCTTCCACTAGTCGTCTCCTAGCAACAGATCTCTATACAGAAACTGTCACTTCAAATCACTCCAAGTATTGCATATAACTAAAGTCTTCCAATCACATGCTAACACTTCACACAACGAACTTCCTGTGGCTGTCACTTAAACACTCAAACACTCTCAAATACTCCCGAATACTCCCAAATACTGAAATCTGTCCTGTCTGTAACTGTCGTTATATAGCTTCCCCACTGATCACACAGAAAACAGCCTATACTGTTGGAACGTGTTTACCAAGGGATTGCATAGCAACAGTCGCGGCACGGACTCCACTGAAAGCCAGTTACGTGATAGCTACCACTGTTGTGGTGTGACATCATTGCACCTGCGTGGAAGTCTGTTTACTGAACCATTGCCTAGAAGCAGGTTGCATAACCTCATTGTTCCACTGTTGTCAGTGTGTATCACGTATGTGTACTGGTCCATTACCCAGCAATGCTCTGGTAATCCATGTTACAATATCTTTATGTACAGTTAGTACAATCAAGTGCGCACTTGATTGTACGAGCCGCGGCGCGCACTTGATTGTACGCACTGTATAATGGTACATATATATATATATTAATAGTTTAATAACATCTTACGCACATAATGACCACTGTATGGATTAATGGGTGAATCAATGTTATTGACTGTTGCATTATAGGCTGAACATCTGATTGACTATAAGTGGAAACTCACTGCAACAGGATGCATAAATATAATATTGCTTTATAAACTACATGCACCATACAAACTCCATGAGCTTTGTCTAGTGATACTGAGCTAAGTCATGTGCAAATTACTTACTTATTTCATCTACAATAACAGTATTGTCAAGTGCTACATGGATCACCACTGAGCTCCATTCATCATATATAGCTAGTTTCCTGAAATGAAGGGATTATGTATTCAGTTCAATGAAGATTAACACAGCATTTACCAATAATGCATTTGGCAATTCTTCAATGCATATCATTAAGTCTTGCCTATCCTGCGTCAGAGGGCTTTCAACACTGCCAATTTCCCATATGGACACAGTGCTGGGATCCTTCTGACACCACATGTGAATTAATACTCTGACTCGCAAGACCCATCTGCTAAGAATGCCTGATGGTGGTATGTGCAGTTGTACAGAAATCCTCATGTTACTTTCCTCAAATTTCATTCATACAAAGGGACCACAACATGTAAAAGCCCATTCTTTCCTCTAAACATCAGCTTGTCTCACCTGATGCCATCTATTAACAGAAATTGGAATATGGTGTGCAAAGGGTGCAGGAAATACAAGGCTAATGACAAATGAACAGAGAGTTCATTTCACAACAGACCAATGCAAAGCCAAATATACTGGAGTCATTCATTCATTATTTACAGATCAGAGAAATTAAGCTTACAGATGAATGTACAGTGTGTAGACAGCAATTAAATGCCAGTTGTAACATCTACACTGAACTGCAGTGATGGGTTAACTTTGGCACAAGGTGGATGTGAATGGTAAGTATCATGCTCAGCCATTTTGTCCCGGGGAACAAGCCACCTTCTAGTACCCAATGGTTAGGGGGGATGTGTGGGCCCCAGAGCCAGTCTGGAAACTGTTGTAAAAATAAAAATCTCTTACCCCAACCATGTATCGAATGCTGACTCATCACTGATCTAACATATTGCTTATTATTATACTGGCTGAACTATCTTGGCTCCTGCTCCATCTAGCGCTGAGTTTAACTATCTGCGTGGACCTATAACTCTACTGTACGCTAAGTCTTCATTGCATGTAACATAATGAAGCACATGGACAACATTACTCATTCCCCTTAACCTTCTTTTGTCCATTTTTGGGTTATTATATGCAATTTCTACAGATGCATATGTTCTTAACAGATTTAGGCATTGGTTTCAGTAACACAAATCAATCAGATAAGATGCAACATCTGAAAACTCAAACATCAAATTATAATTGTCTGTCAAATAACTCTGTACTGTGCCATCCTGTTGCATGTCATTTATTTTCACTTCTTGTTCATCGGGTCACGTGCAAACTTATGTTAAAATCTTTCGTTCACGTTTCTTTAAATTTAAATTTATTTTTGACATCATTGGTGCAATACTTGTTTCAACCAATATGGTTATCCTCAGGTGCTTTGAGAGTTTCTGTTCAGAAGCACTGTATTTCCAACAACAAAAGTAATCCCGAAATATACCCTTGCATATATCCCGAAGTATACCTCATGATGACCATCACTCAAAACATGTTGTTCACCAGTGATGTGAAAAATAATTTTAAAAATTAAGAAAACATTAATTTTAAGATTATAACACAAGTTTGCATGTGAGACAGTGAAGAAAAATTAAAAATATAAGCATCAAAGTCTCTTTAACTGCTTAAATGTGCATTCCTCACTCACAGAACGTCGACCAGAACTTTTCCCCAACATCTGTTCCATACAAGTGTTTGTATCACACATATTGAACAGTTTAGAAGGCAGAAACTCTTTGCACTCCATCTCACAGCATTGCTGAACTCACTTCCAGATCTGGTCTTGATACGCTACAGGATACACTTCACATCCACATATCTGGCTGTATTATGTTAACTGACTGCTTAAAGTAGATTTCAGAAATGTAAAGACTATTTTTGCTCATCCAGTATTATACTTATAGCCCAAATTATAAGACAAAGTGTCTAAGGGACATAAAATATGCTTACTTCAGCACTTGTGTAACTGTATTTGGTCCAAACCACTGTCCCACTTCCTTCCCTTCAGACGCACCCATCAACGCTATCTGATGGATTGAATACGCTGCAGTACGGCGATCTTCAAACATGTGCAGAATTTGAAGATATGCTGTGTTCCTTGTCTCTGGATCCCAACACCAGTCTCGACCTGTTTAATATAAAATTCATATAGAAAAGTTTTGTCAGTATTTCTTTCCAATTTGTACAACTTGTAGGTGAAGATGTACTTTGAGCCAGTTCTGATACATGATTTTTCTATGTCAATAAGGTTGGGGCACATGGTAGCACAGTTGGTTGAGGCACTATGCTACATGCAGGAAGGTCACAGGTTCATATTCTGATGAGGTCATTGGATTTTTCAATTGACCTTATTCTTCCAGCTGCACTATGGCCCTGGGATCTATTCACCCTCTAACAGAAATGAGTACCAAGAATCTTCCTGAGGGTAAAGGGCGGCCGGCACGTAAGTCTGACAACCTTACCGCCATCTGTGAGCCAACTGTCTAGAAAATGTAGGAGCCTCCACATCTCACAATCCTATGGGTCTCCATAGCCTGTTACAGGGATAGCTTTACTTTTTACTTCTTTATGTGAATAAGATTATGGGTGGCAAAGTTTCACATGCTCCAGATTATTACACATGGGTAAGGAAACTGAAGTCAAATTCCCCACTTGCTTGATTCCCTTAGCACAAATGATTTTGGAAGGAACATGAATAATAGTGTTGCCAGTCTCACCTGAATTATAGTTTCTATTAGCAGAGGACTTGTGTTTTGGTTTCAGATCCTTCAAATTAAAATAGAAAATGCTTTCACATATCCATGATTAAGATTTGTCACACAAGTATGATGACAGTGCAATTTTCTGAAGTTCCTGAATCACGCACTGTTGTCCTTTTTCAGTTATGTTTTACACACTGTAATGCTTGTTCTGTGGCAGCCTTCTAGAAAGACGACAGATTTCTTGATAGTGAAGTTACTGAGAAAACTCACGCCATAGCTCAAGCTGTTAGTTGCTGGCTTCCCACCGTGATGGCCTGGGTTCGATCCTGGGTCTGTTCAAGTGGGATTTGTAGTGGACAAAGTGGCGCTGGGGCAGGTTTGCTCCGAGTACTTCGGTTTCCCCTGCCAATCTTCATTCCACCAATTCCTCTACAATCACTATCGCCTATCATCTGGGGCTGGTACAATAGGCCAGAGGTGGCTGCAGTACAAGGGACTTAGTCCCACCCCACTAGCAATAAAAAAAATACTGAGAAAACTGGTTAAATTTTAGCATTAAATCATGCAAATTCACTATGCCGTACCAACCGCCATGATCCAAAGAACAACTCGGGATAACAAAGGAGATCAACACACAAATTCAATGGTTATTTTAAGTCAAATGTTAAACTATTTATACAAAAATGAAGCATAAAAAGTATATTTTACCTCTACTTTTCATTCTCCAGAAAATATAACCATTTTCATGCATAAATGTGTAAGAAACATCTTGGAAAAAATTCTTGAAATAGTTAAAACTTTTAATACACTGTAAACAGTAAATAACACTGTACCAAATAAAGGCACTACGATACTATGATCACAGTATACAAATCTTATATCATGTAGTAATATTTCACATTTATGTCTATAAATAGGAAAATGAGCCAAGTTACAACTACCTTCACCTACTAAACTAATTGATGGGTTCTGCAGTAATTGAACCCTTTCCCATGACTTTAATTTCCAACTTCACTCCTACAAACGAGCGTAATGTTCAGGATGAAAGAGCCAGACTGGTTCCACAATAATCATCACATCAAACCATTCCTATTATGTAACAACAGCCTTACATAATTAAATGCAAAATTGAATGTCAAACAGTTCATGAAACACATACTTAAAGGGGCCCATGTTTCTGTCTCAGAGGCTGCAAATTAAACATGGTAAAAATACAGTGGCATTAAGACAAAGGCCATTGCTAGGCAAGGACCTGCAAACAGCAACAGAGGAATGGTATATTTTGTGCAGTCCATGCCAAGATGTTATAAGCAGAACAGTTAATCTGTCAGAGTCAGTTGAGCTGAGTTGAGTTGATATGAGTTGGTTGGTGAGAGACTGAGTCAGTTTGTCAGTCAGTTTGTTAGAGAGCTGTCGAGGTTCAGCTGTTGCTGTGAAAAGCTGGTAGCTGAGGCCTGGGATAGTTTGGAAACCCAAAGGAAGGGGAGTGCCCACCTTTGGAGCCACTACCTAGCAACAGCTACTGAAGACACAACTCTATGCATGTGCACATGTGCACGTGTCATGTGTCGTGTGTTGTGTGTGTGTGTCTAACAGTGAATTCTAAAGTGTAGTCATATGCTGTTTCAAAGAGTCCAACAAATCCAATCATCAGTCTAAAACCTATCTACAGTCATACTCATACTATAAATGATAAAACTGTACCTATATTATGTGCAGATGACACTAGTTTGTTAGTTAAAAGTTCAAACTATGATGATCTCTGTGTACATAAAAATAATGCTTTTCATAGTATATGTGAATGGTTCAAAGTAAACCAACTTTCTATAAATTTCAACAAAACCCACTACATTCAATTTACAGCTAGAAATAAAAATCCTAAATCTGAAATAAAAATTGTATATGATAAAAAACAAATTACATCTATATCCAATATTAAATTTCTTGGAATATTCATTGATTACATAATGAGCTGGAAATACCACATTGAGTATATTTGTTCTAAACTAAGTGCACTCTGCTACAAATAAGATCGCTTAAACCATACACGTCCATACATACCTTAAAATGGTTTATCACTCTTATTTTAATTCTATTATAAATTATGGTTTACCCTTTTGGCGTAACTCACCCCGAAGTATAAACATTTTTAGAATGCAAAGAATATAATTAGAATTATGATGGGATGCAGAAGGAGGGATTCGTGCAGGAACTTATTTAGAGAATTAGAAATCTTACCAATGGCATCTCAGTACATACTATCTCTTATGCTCTTTTGTGATAAAAAACAGAAACAAATTCATAGTAAATTCAGAGATTCATAGAATAAATACCAGACAGCAAAATAATCTACATCAGCCTCTTGTAAATTTGAGTAAATACCAAAAGGGAGTTTACTGTTTAGGAACAAAGGTCTATAATAATCTACCACAATATATTAAGGATATATCAAGTGACACTAAGAGTTTTGAGGTACAATTAAAACAATTTTTATATTTACATTCTTTTTATTCTTTACAGGAATATTTTGGTTATAAATCTTTTTAAGGTGCGAGTAGTTGTCTTGCTTTACAATTAAAAGAAGACAAGGTTGTGAGTCTGTGTTCTGGTTTTTAGATGCTTATTTTAGATATACACAATTTTTATATTACTGTATATTAGTTTTTATTTCAATTTATTATATAATTAATGTATGTTATACAAAACTCAATAATTACATTATGTTTTAACCATTGAATTTTTAACTAATAGACTTGCATAAAACTGCACAAATTGTATAAGATTTGCCATTACTTTTACTACTAAAATTAACATATTTATTATATTGTACACGTTTATCAGTATTTTATACAAATGTGCATGCTATCGGATGACAACTGTAATCCTTGGTTGTGACTGTAACAAGGACGATCTCCACATCCGCATGAGAATGTACTCTCGACAGGATTTATGGAAGGTGAATAAATGAAATATAAAAATATGAAATACAATATACAACTGTCCTTTGATGAAGTCACAAGGCAGCACCCTGGCAATCAAAAGAGCACCAGCCCTATCCTGGACCACAATGGCTCAAATACAGCCCTGTTCCCATCACTTACAAATTAATACATGCAAGCATTTAGAAAAGAAGCAAATTGATAAAGAAAAATATTGTGTCATTTAGACCTGTTGCTAGGTAACGACCGCGAAATAAGCAACTATACATCAGCCTTTGCTAAGTAATGGCTCTGCAAACAATAGCTACTGTTAGACAATGGCTGAGTAGCAACCACGTGGGCACCCCAACAGACACAAACACAACTGCACAGCAACACTGTTTTCTGTGCAGCCAATGTCAAGATGTTATAAGCAGAACAAGTCAGGATCTGCAGAGAATCAGTTGGTTGGTTAGCGAATTAATTAGGTAACCGCTGGGGTTCAGCTGTTTTGAGCTGTTGCTGTGAGAAGTTGGTAGCCGAGGCCAAGGACACGTATGGAATCAAAAGGAAGGGGAACGCCCACCATTGGAAGCTAATACCAAGCAATGGTTAGTGAAAATTAACAAACTGAGAAGATCTGATGTGTCCTAAAGTAGTTATGAGTGGTAAGAATTCAATAAATCCAGTCATCAATCCAAACAGTCATACTATAATCATGACAATATTAAACTCCTGCCATCTACTGTCCCTGTATATAAACTACTAGAGCAGAAGTCAAAGAATATAAAGAACAAAGTCAGAGCAGACAGCAAATGATTCCAATGTGGCATCAAATTTGTAAAGCTGCTTCTGGAAGTCTTCCAAAAGAGGATTGGAATGTGTAAAATTTATAAATGAAAACTTCCTTATCCTCTGTGTGAAATAAACACATAAGAGACAACTACCCAACACTGCTTCAAGACAGACAAAAATCAATTCCACATACCCAGATGAAGACAAGCTAGGGCTTGAGCAAGTACCATCTGTCCACAGCGAAGCATGCATCCCCAGCCTTTATCTGATGTTAGCCCTGTATCCCCAATCTGTACAAAACCACGCCGATACGTGAACCAGAACTTAGAGCGAATGTCCTTGCGTATAATCTCCAAATCTGAAAAATTATAAACTGAGTTTAAACGGTACCTCAACAACATTTTAAACACACTCTAACAAACAAACTCACATCCAAACCAAAGCTTCATTTTAACCCTTACTTGCTCAGCCAGACTTTATTTTGGGGTCATTTCCTAGAATTTCTAAGGCTTCTGTATGACTGAAGTTTTGTGTACAACATATGATTCAAATGAACACATAGTAGCAAATGAACACACAGTAGTGAAGTTGGTTGAGGCACCATGCTACAAGCTAGAAGGTTATGAGTTTGATTTCTGATGAGGTCACTGGATAATTTCAACTGATTCAGTACTTCCAGCCACAATATGGCCCTGGGGTTAAAGGGCGGCCAGTGCGTAAGGCTGACAACCTCACCCAGTATCTGCAAGCCAACTATTTAGAAAAAGTGGGAGCCTTGACATCTCACAATCCTATGGGCCTCCATGTCCTGTTAAAGGGATAGCTTTACCTTTACGTGAGTCAAAAGACTACTTCAGTTCTTCTATAGGTGACAATGCACAATATTTCATCTGCTGGCATCTGTCAATAAGGAAGCGAAAATTGAATGAAGAGAGCTAAAATTGGCCTATAAGGAAACCCATGTTACTGTAGTAGTGCTTAACAGTACAGGTGTTCATAGAACAATGCTACTGTAGCACCACTTAGAAATCCCAGCATACACAGTGTAACGCTACTATACCATATAGTGAGAAACAATGAAAAGATTAACTACAAAACTGCAATCACCATCAATAGCCCTGTACTTTTTCCCAAGTACCCAAACTGGATCTTTCGTATGTGGAATATCATCTGGATCCAAGTGACCTGCTTCCTGTGTCAAGTAGGCTTCGAACATCATATCCATCTTCTCAGTTTGTATTTACAGCTGGTCCAAAAAGAAAGTTTTAAACATCCTGGTTAGGTATCTGTAACAATGTAAACACTGAGATATGTTAAAACATTCTTGATGTACAATATTCCACCAGCAATCACAGATTTCAAGCAACCACAGTATACCAAAAACATGACAAAACAGATACCTCAAACATCTGAATGAAACCAACAGCTTGTTATACATTTTTTAATCTGATCAATATCAATCAAAATATATCTAAAATGTATTCAGGCTTTGTGTCAGGTAGTAGTCGAGTCAGTATAGTGACTGGCTATGGGATGGATGACCAAGTGGTCAGAGTTCAAGTCCCAGTGGGGACAAGAATTTTCTCTTTACCAAATCGTCAAGACCAGCTCTAGGGCCCATCGAGCCTCATATTCAATGGGTACCAGGAGCCCTTTCCCAGGGTGTAAAGTGGTCAGAACTTGAAAATGACCACTCACCTCCAACTAGTGCCGAGGTCAAGAAAATGTGGGTCTACACATCCACTCCTCCCATATGCTTTACAATTTTACGTTTTTTAATTTATACCTTAATTTTGATTTAATTACAATTTGTTAATCCAAAGCAGTTTCAGAATTCCCTGTTTAAAACATCTTTGGAGGTGCCTCATCACTGCCATCATCACATAGTGATACAGATTATGTCATTATTAGAATGTTACTGGTGAGCACCAAAATAATCATAACATAGGTACCGTAGAAGACACAGGGTTCTATTCCCTACAGACGTTTCAGAGCATACAGGTGTACACATGTAAAAGCTAGGGAAATAATAGTAGATGGTCTGACAGTATTTGGAAATGTACCAGGCTTCAGTATGTCAAAAATTATGAAACCAATCATGAAGCATATAACTGAGACTCTTTCCCTAAACAGAATTAACTGGTTGGTCTGTGTAGCTGAGAATGTGTTTCCTGTGAGGTACGATCTGAATTCTTATACATTTTTGGGGGAAAAAAATCAGTCTTTAATAGGTTAATACCCACATGCATATTTTTCCTGCATCATCTCAAACTCAACATATGGACAGACTTACTGAAACGTTTCCCACTTCTGGCTACAGATTCCACATATACTTCCTCTGCTGATCCCCTCTTATGCCTTATACCACAATTTCGCTGTATGTATGCATTACTGACAATGGAAATTTGTTCTCGGCAGCAGTTAAGGCTGCAATGCTGAATAAAGCACTGGCACTCCTTTCACTGTTGCCTGGTGGTCCATTCCGTAACAGTTACTGACAACAATGACTCATCTATAGAGATGATTGAATTGCTACATGAGTGGTGTACTTAGTACCAAAATCATCGTTCCATGTCAGTGCAGTTTAGACTGTTGCCTCCTAGGTTGTGACAACATATAGTTTTGTACATGGATACTAATACAGTAAAACCTGGTTATAGCAACATCGGTTTCTGCGACACCTTGTCTATTGCGTCACATATTCAATGGTACGAACTAATTCCTCATAAAGCAACTGTTTTTATACCTTGCTTAGTACGACATGCACAAATGCATCAACCTCGTATGTAACGTCATTTTCATTCCTGAATTTCTCTGATATGGACATTGAACGTAATTTAGAAAGTGTGTATTGGGCAAGTAACAGGAAACAGATGAAGATAACTGATTATTTTACTCATATCTAGGTACAGTAAGGCACAACAATTGATGTAATCTACTGTAATTTGGTGAGTAGGCCTACCTTTAATATACAGTATTAGTGCGGTGTGTATTGTCAGTGAAAAGCGCTGTAATATGTCTTTGATATTACACATTTGGGCAATTCCACGTTAATGTTACGTTAGTCTGTACTTAACTACGTATTTCACTAAAAAATGCAACATTTTAACTCGGTTTTTGGTAGATTTTTACGTGACTAACATAAGGCTACTGTGGAAGTGCCCATTTCGGTTACAACGACATTCGTTTATAACGACACTATTTTTAGGTCCCTTTGATGACGTTATAACCAAGTTCTACTGTACTTTGCAGGAACATACTGCCTCCATCTTCAGGGTCAAAGTGAGTTGACTGGGTGTAAATAAATTATATAGGCAATGTGATGGATGGCAGATACTAAGAACTATGGGAGGGGAAGTCCCACCCAGTTCACTGTTCCAACTGGCCCAGACAGGGTCCCATCTCCTCCCTCCCTCCTGTGGCTGTGTGTGACCACCCAAGTAACATGTTTTACTTCCTCATCCTTAAACAACAGTTCTCACAATTCTGTTTCACCGGTACTACCGGCATAGACAAAGCTCTATCTTCCCTCCCCTCTCATGGTTCTGAGTGACAACAAACCATGTCACCCTTCCTACATAACCTGTTTACCTTCTCATATCATTCAGTTCAACCCTGAAGAAAGAGGAAACATGTTCCTCCAGAGCACAAAAGTGTGACAACTTACAAGCCCCCAGTCTGCAGAAGCACAGGCATGACAATGGCTCAGACTGTAGTGTCAAATGGTAGAATGACTGGGAGGAAGCAGCTGTATCCTACTTTAAGTTGGAATACAATTTATGTACACTCCATACATCCTTCATAGGCCTATGCCATGGATTTAGAACATGTCATAATACATAAACGATAATTTTTTCCAATACAAATATAAACATAAATACAACACTGTAACAACTATTTACAGACATCTCCTACTTCACAGAATTACACCACAAGAATTATATGAAAAAACCATTATCATTATTACTTAGATGTATTTATAACTCAGAATTCTTGATTCTATGGAGCAGGAGTGAGATATGAGATACTCTTTCAATTCTGGCTTAAACATTTGATTTCTTTCACTCTGGTTTGTCACAATAACAATATCATGAAAAGTTAAACAGTTCCATCCAGTGTGACTGATGAAGATTTTCCTTATTTCAATTATTTATGCCCTTACATCAAAGAACCCTATTCTCGAGAACAACAAGGAGGCACACGTTCCGCTCCCGTCAAGAGAAATAATAAGAGGGATGACACGAACCCACTTGGTTTACGAATTCCAATAGAGTTTTAACAAACCAATTATAAACATTTTAATATACTGAAACAGCCACTGTAGTTGTAAAGACTTTATCTTTTATATCCAATTGCATATTATTAATATTATATGTATACATTTTAACTTTCAGAACATATATTGTAATAGTAACTTCCAAATGTATTGATGGAAAGGTGTCCCTCTGATGATGGTCTCTGAAGACCGAAACATGTAAGGGAATAAATAATTGAAATAAGGAAAATCTTCACCAGTCACACTACACAGAACTGTTTAACTTTCCTGGCTTAAGCAGTTCTCTACTACTATTCAAACATCTGATTGCTGGAGTAAGATTGCTGACTAACTTAATTCCAGGCAGCCCGGGTTTGATCCCGGAGTAACTGTGATGTTTTTATGTCACACGTTACACTTGGTAGTGACACCATCCTTGGTGAGGTTGGCTGAACCACGGCTGTCTTTGGTGAGGACACATCATGGACCAGGGATGTGTTGGGACACAGCTTTAGGACACTTCCTCATGGTCCCGCCGGGAAACAACAGCCCCCTTCCAGGGCTGGCGGCTAAGTTCTCATAAAGGGTGACGGCTTTATGACCAGAGCCTCCCGTGCGGTGGCATAATGACTCTTGGATTTCACTGCAGTGTACCTGGGATGAATGTGAGAGAGCACTCCTATGGGGGTGGCTTCGGCTATTGGAGTTGTCTCCCTAGAGTACCAATAAGGTGCCACAAGCCTTAGGGCTCAACACCCTAAAACGGTTTGACCAACACATGTGGAGGGGTGGAAATTGGGGAGCTCATAAGCTAACCCCAGGGGCGACTTTCTCATGTGGGTTGCCCTGGTTGCAACCTCATGACTAACTGGTGTCACACTCCCATTGATCATCTGGGATACCCATCTCCCCCCAAACAGGCACACTTGGTCCTGGAGGCTTGTGAGGGTTTCCTTTACTACAGAACCAAACCACCTAAGCCAAGGTATGAGGCATCATGCTGAGGGCTGCATGGCACTGGGGTGGTAATTAGCCAGTTTCTTTAATGATCCCCTCCAGGCACCAGGCAGCACCCCATTGTATTTATGCCTTCCACCCGTATGGGGCGCTGCGGGTGGCGACCTTTTAAATCCCCAAGACTCTTGGGACCAAAATGAAAGGAACCAAAAAAAAAAAACTGGTCATAAGGACCTTAAACTGAAGAGGGACCCCCTTCCAAGGGGATCCCTACAAGAAATGCTTCAGCTGGGGGCTGGAAGCTCTGGTGAACCACTAAGGGACCCAGGTGCAGCCAGCAAACCTGCTGTTGAATTTTCAGCCAAAGGCAGGGACGAACCAGTGGTTTGAAACCTACCTGAGGTAAAATGAAAAACTCTATTAGGAGTCAGTAGTACTGACATACCACTACAGGGGGCTAGTACCTCTAGCATACCTGCAATAGGAGAAGGATTGGGATACCTAGTCGCTGGAGTAGGTGGACTCCTTCTAGCAAAAAAAGCCTTGTCTGCATGTGCCAGATGGAAGTTGAAAACGGCAAGAGCTGGGGCAAGCATAGCAGGAACTGGGGGCAGTCAGCAACCAGGAAATGCAGGCTCGTCCAAGCAGGGAGAAACCCCTACCGGTACCTTTAAGAGGCCAAGGTCAGAGGGCAGTACCCCTACAGAGACGGCCATAACTCTGAAAAGGCCCAGGGACACTAAGGGACCAGGGACTTACAAGGATGCTCTGACCAACTTAAAGGTAGCTATCTTCAAGGAAACTTATTCTGAGGATAAGATGACTAGAATTCCATTCTGGAAGCACTGGGGGAGGTGTTACATAGGATTCCAAAGGGAGAACTACCACACCTGAAATCCTACAGACTAGTGGGAGGTGCACTTATTCATGCATGCGCCGACCAACAATCTGGTCAATAGCTCACCAAAGCCATTGACCACAGGCTGGAATCAGGGGCCAGGCTGAAGGCTACTGATGCCAGAAACCTGCCCAAGCCTGTTAAAGTGGCTCTCCAGACTAGTGACAAAGTTGCCC